TTTTATTTCCGCTGTGCATGATAAGTAAATTCATAACAGCTTGGTGGGAATTAAAATTAGATTTTTAGTAAATTGTGATAGAAGTTTTTGAAATGTGTCGTTGAAAAGCTGTGAGACCTATAAAATATGTGGTTAATATTGATTGTTTGACTTTGACTTAAATTAAAATCTGATTTTAATTTATACCAAACAAGCTCTTAATGTTGCCGCAGGCACTAATAATTCTGTATATAACATTGTGCCTGTGCTTATACCAAAATATTCCACTAGCAACGGCATTATGTGTAAATTTACTGATTAGACTAGTCATTATGCTTCAAAATTGGTAATGTAAAAATTGATTTAGCTTCCCATTTGGCTAATTTATCAATGATTTATAAATCATTAATAAATGATCAAACTCCATTTTCAACCACACATTCCATTGACACATAAGTACTATCCACTTATCCACTACTTATTTTTATCTATTTATAAATTCTTCCAAAATGGAGACATATTTGATTTCTCTTTGTTTTAAATATATCCCCACAGGCAGCTAATGACTGTGATCTTGAACCAGTTGCTTATGAATTTTTCACGCAAGCTTCTGTACTGTACGAGGAAGAAGTTGCGGTACTTATTAAATATAATCAGTTTATTCAGTTACTATATCTTATACAAGTTTTTTCTTAGAACTGGAATGGGGCTATGTTCTAAACTTCAATGTTTATGTTAAAATTCTGTATTCTTAGGATTCTAAAGCCCAGGTGACTGCTATACACCTAATAATCGGGACTCTGCAGAGGATGAATGTCTTTTGCGTCGAAAATAGAGATACCTTGACTCATAAAGCTACAGGGGTATATCAATGTTCTTTGTATCTTTCTTCATAAAGACAGTTTACCCTTCATCCCAGCCTGATTGTTCTTTTCTGTTTAGTATTCAGCAAAACTTTTAAAGAAGCCTGATCAGTGCAGAGCAGTTTATGCCTGTTCACATCTCTTCTGGGTTGATGATCAGGATGGCATCAAAGATGGAGAAAGGTTAGCTATGTGAAAATAATCATTGGCATTATCTCCAGACATACATGTTTAGGAAATTGATTAAAACTCTTTTTAAGTTATATTATTAGCTTCGCAGACATTGTAAAATGAGTTGTTCAATTGAGATGTATTGGATAATGGTTCATTCGGTTAAATATAGAAATATAATATGGAATATTTTTCATTATAATCTTGTTTTTTAGTGTATGATTACTTTCCTTAATAGTTGATTGTGTAATCTTTTCTTTTATGTTTATTTTCTTTTA